GCACAATTTGGCTGAGTCAAGATCCAGACCTGGGGACTCTGAAGTCCAGAGTCAACATCTGTCTTGGGGACTGAGAGAAAAAGGAATCTCATGCCCTTTAGGTTCAGGGCTCCAGCTCGGGGGTGCTCGGCTCGGGGGTGCAAACAGTGGGTGGGCAGCCCTGGAGGTTCCAGCAAGGCCACGGCCAACACCAAATGGTGGCAACGTGGTTACATGCTTACCTTAGAGCTGAGCCTTTCTGACGGTAAGCTTTCAACAGATTCCTTTTAGGTGGTCTCTTTCCAGGGAATCACCTTCCGATAGATTTGGGGATCCTGGTTATTCTTAGCTAGGGCATATCACCATGGAAATACTACCAAGGATGGCAGGATGATTTCGCATGGATTCTGTAATGGGAAAGATCCTGCATCACGTGGCAGGATCATTTCGTGGTGTCTGTTTCAAGAGTAGGACACAGAAATGTCAGCATGTATGCCAGACTTTTGGAGGGGAGGAACACATAATGGTTAAATGATTAGACTCTGCAGTCAGGCTGCCCAAGTTCAAATTCAGTAGTCTGCCACTTATAAAGCAAAAAAGCTTCATCACATTATGTAACTTCTCTGTGCCTCTGTTTCCTCAGCAGTGAAAGGGCTAAGGGATGAGTGAGGATCACTTGAACTACTCGATATATCCTTGCCTGAAGACACTTGCTCCTGGACTTCCCAATCACATGAGCCAATACCCCCCATTTTTTAATGCAATGGGCCCTGTCACTGGCACAAGGAGCCCTGCCCAAGGCATTGTGTGAAAACACCAGACAAATGTGGAGAGCCCCAACAAGTTCACAGACTTTTCCTCAAAGGTTAAGGGTCTCGAGGTTAAGTGTGGAGCCCACTGTGTTAGGAACCCAAGAAGGATTTGAGGGGACAGCAGGCCCCTGATCAAATTCAGAAGTAGGGCACGGACCAGGAATCTTGATTTCCCACCCAGCGTTGCCTCTGCAGAAAGAGGACCCACGAGACAACCCAAGGTGGAAAAGAAACACAAGCCAGCGGAAGACCACCACCAGGGCATAGACCTGCCTTGGCCTGCTCTCCTCGTAAAGAACACAGACTCTGTAGCTGACAGCCTGGGTTCAAACCCTGGCACCAGCTCTTATCCTGACCTTGAGCCCTGGGCTTCACCTCTGTACAATGGGGCTACCGGGATCTATTTCATAGTGGTCTAAGAAAATATGGCTGGAGATTCTGCTTCCAACCTGCCCCACTGCTGTCCACCTGCACACAGCAGTGGTCTGCAGGCCTTAGCTGATCTGGACCCAGCCCTCGTTTTATTAAATCAAGTCGCAGACTGCACACTTTCACCTTCCCCTAAATATGTTCCCAGCTATATCATTAACTCCGTGGGAGAAAGAGGGGGATCTCTATTCCCATGGAGTTTCAGTCTTGGAAACACACAGGGACAGTTCTACCCTGTCGCTGTGCGTCAGAATGGACTCGCTACCAGTGAGTTAAGCTCTGGTTATCAGTAACCAGTTTTTGTTTGTTTACGTTGGTGAAAATAGACACAGCAAAACTCATTGCCACCGCACAGCTTCTAGACACCATGACTGAGGACCGGGTTCACACCTCAAGTTCTTCACATTGCGTCAGCATTTGGTTTATTTCTGTTCTTGTTGGTTCATGATCCAGACCCTGTTGACCACACACACAGAGTGAGCGCGCTCACAGGCTGGCTGCTGCCTCAGGGCCTTTGCACTGTCTGGTACCATTCATCTTTCAGGCACCCACAGGGCCCATATGTGTAACTTCCTGCAAGTGGCTCCTCGGTTGTCACTCCCCAACAAAGTCTCCCTGACCACCCTGCACCCCAGGCACCCGTTCTCTGGGAAGGTCCATTGGATGGTAGCACACTTGTCAAAAGCAGCATCCCTGCAAGGGCAGTCTGGGACAAGGCCACGTCCAGCCACCTCCCTCCTGGCTGCGGGGGGAGGGATGGGGTTGGGTTTCTAGTGATGCAAGGAGGAAACACTCATTAAATCACCTGTCACCATGACTGTGACCTTCTGCAGTCAGACCACAGGCCAAAGGGCCAGACAGCCCGTGGCTGGCATCAGGATGGTGTTCAGCACCCCAGCAGGAACCCCATTTAGTCTTGACCAAAGTCCCTGCAGAGATGCAAACTGCGCTCCAGAGGTGAGTCAGGCCTCAGACACCACCCAGTCAGAAGAAACCCATCCTGCCCTCCAGAAAGCCCCAGGGATTTTTTCTTGGAAGGGAGAAGGAAGGAGATTTCAAAGATCTTTCAAATCTACCCTCATGCAACCCCTGACAGCCTATAAACCCGAACCAAACTCACTGCCTTCCAGTTAATTCCAACTTATAGTGACCTTACAGGGCGGAATAGAAGTGCACCCCTGCGTCTGGTTTCCAAGACTAACTCTTCACGGGAGTAGACAGCCTCATCTCTCTCCAGTTACAAACTGCTGGCTTTGAGGTTAGCAGCCCAAATATCCTCCAGGGCTCCTCAGACAGGCTCCCGGGTCGAGAATTTGGTTTTCTCTTCCCTTCCTTCACTGAAGGGAAGGGGAGGGTCAAGAGAACTCACTGCAGAGCACTCAGCTTAGAGACCAAACCAACTCCAAACCCACTGCGCAGGAAGGGAGGAGCCGACGCCGACTCACTGAAACCCGATAGGTCAGAGCAGAACTGCCCTTGTGAGCTTCCAAGCCTGTCACTCTTCACAGAATCAGGCTGCCACATATGTCTCCCGAGGACCAGCTGGTGGGTTGGAACAACTAACCTCTGGGTTAGCAGTCTGCCACCTAAATCACTGTGCCACCAGCGGCCTTAGATTTGGAGGCAGATTCAGGGAAAGTAAGATAGGCCGGAGTTTACAGAAGAAAAATCCCATCCCACAGTCCAGATTCCTAGTTCCAGACGACCGCCTGTCATCTCCAATTACTTCTTCCTTCCCCAACTTTACTGGCAAATCGGACCCAGTTCAATTATGGGCCTGTTGGAGCTTGAGTTTCCCCATCAGTGAGCTGACGAGCGTAGCTAATGACTTTGCTCCCCTGGTCCTTAGGGACTCTACTGACCTTCTGTCCAACGCTGACCTCTGACCCAGCAGCTCACCCCAAAGCCTGAGGCAAACTGGGTCTCTCTCTCCCAAAGCAGGATCCAGTGCATCCTGGTTCCCCGTCTCTAGAGAGCTGAATTGGGGAATAACACCGTTTCTTACACCAGACCTTCCACAACCCTCGCTGTGCACCAGATAGCGAAACCTGGAATCAATCCCCAGTTCCTCTCTGTGCCCAACACACCTGGACATTAGAGACACCCCAGAGGAACATAACAAAGATGAGGAGGACTCCTCTGCAGCCTCTGCCTGCCAAGACTTGCTGTCTAATTGCTGTTAATTGCATTAATTGCATAGCTCCCGAGTATTAGGATGCCTCTGTGGCCGCCTCCTCTTATTTGGAGGAAGGGCAAGGAAAGAGGAATTGTGAACACCGAAAGCTCCACGCGGCTAGCTGCTCACCTGCTTCCTCAGCCCACCCAATGCCCTCTCCTCCACCCTCCAGTCATCTCAATGCCCAGGAAGACAGTGTTAAGTGGCAGCTGAGAGATCCTGATGGGCTGAAGCCAAAAGGGGCCCTGGGAACTGGGTGGGAGGGGCATGGAAGGGAACCAAGCTCTAGACTTGAAGGAAAAGGCACCAACTCAGAGGGGCCTCACCCTCTGTGGTGCCTGAAACAGTATCCTCTCCTGCTCAGTGCTCCCAGGCACCTCTCTGGCGTCATCCAGCTGTGGATTGCTTTGAGTCTAGAAAGACCCATCACTTAGACTTTAAGTGGTTCTCAACCTTCCTAATGCTGCGACCCTTTAATACAGTTCCTCATGTTGTGACCCCCCCAATCATAAAATTATTTTTGTTACTACTTCATAACTATAATTTTGCTACTGTTATGAATTGGGAAACACTTGTAAAAAAGGGTCGTTCAACCCCCAGGGGCGTAGCAACCCACCCGCTGAGAACCAGTGAGAGACTTCCTCTCCCCCACCCTGGACACTGAAGGCCGACAAAGCTCCGTGAGCAAGGACAATGTCATTGTCCCAACTGAGGATGCCAGGGGAGTAGGGTGCTGTGGGTAGTGTCACTTCAGGCACACAGGGCCCACCCCTAAGGAAATAAAGCCAAACCCCGGCTAGACAAAAATGGGGTGTGAGGGGAAGGTTTGGGGGGCAATATCCACACCACTCCCAAGATGCCTTTTTTTCACCAGAGTATGTTGCTAAGGCCTCTCCACGCCCTATCAGGGACTGCCACTCTTGCCAGGACCTCTGGCAAAAATGCTGGTCTCTCAAGGGGCCCACTCCGCCCCCTGGAAGGCTTCAGGCCAGGAGGGCAAGGCTGGAGGAGCCTCTACAGTTGGGTGAGGCAGCCCAGCTGTCAAACGGAGATGCTCTCCACCGCGCCAAGCTCCGCCTGCAGCAGCGCCCGGAGGGCCGGCTTGGCCCCCCGGGATAGAACTAGGGCCCCTCAACCAGTTCCTCAAGCAAACCTAAGGCTCAAGGAACGGCGCCCAAGTACCCCTCCCAAAATGGAGCTGCTGATAGAGAACGCTGCCTCGCCAGGGCCGGGAGGTCGCTCCCAAATCTGGTCCGTAGAGACTGAGGGAGACCCCGGCGGAGGGATCCCCCAAATCTATCTGTCCCCCTCAGGCCTTCCCCACATGGACCCGCCAGGAACTTCCCCGAGGCCGCAGGCCAACTTTCTGCAGCGGAGTCCCGCGGGGCAAGGAGCCGGGGCGGGGAAGGGGCTTCGGCAGGCGCCCATTGTGGGTGAGGAACCGAAGCGCCGAGAGGATGGAGGGGGTTGACCACGAGGACCCTGGCCTCCAAGCCTGCGCCGGGGGCCCTAGGCCTAGGCCACCCCCATCGCCCGGGCCGGGGGAGGGGGCAGACACTGTCCGGCAGGTAGCAGAGTTGCGGGACCAGGAGGTCCGGCCCTACCTGCAGTTCCTGAAATTCTCCCTCCAGCTCGTGCCAATCGCGCTCGCAGCGCTCCAGCTGCCCGGACATGGCGCAGTGGTGCAAGGCGGCGGCGGCGGCTCCCGCGGCGTGGCCCGGCCGCCACGAGCACCCCTACGCCGGTCAGCTCGCCGGCCGCCCTCGGAGCCGCCAGCTGTTCTTGCGCAGCCAGAGCCACGCGCGCACCTGACGTCACGGCCCCCGCCCGGCGCGCGCCCCGCCCCTTCGCGCGGGAGTGGGCGGAGACAGCTCCGCGCATGCGCACGCACCGCCCCGGCTCCGCCTCCACGGGCCGCCCTTCAGTCCTGGCACCTGAGGTGCTTTGTACTACTGCATAGGGTCGTAGCTGCTGCCTGAGAGTGCCTTTGAGCGTCCACAGTCCCTCTGTCCTAGGAGGCGCTCGGAGAGTGTGTCTGCGTTTGCCGAGCAGACTTTACTTGCAATGTGTGCATTTGAGGCGTCAGAGTTGGGGAGGGAGATTGGAGATTTGCGAGGTGGTTGGAGCTCACCCACTCCGACCTGACCAAGGTCAAGGCCCCGGAATACTAGAAGGGACACTGGCCATCCAACTGGCAAGGTCGCCAGGCAGAGCCCGGAAGGACCAGGAGGCACCTGTCATTTCGCATTGTCTCTATTTACTGTAATCAATACATTCTAGAGTGTGGCAGCTGGTTTTGTAGCTCCAAAGGGACAACTGCCACAACACTAATTAAATCCAAATTCCCGCCCGGCCTTGCAAACCCCACAGTCCTGGTCCCAGACACATCTCCCATCTCATCCCCAGGCCACCACTGCCACCCCCAGCAGGTCTCTGCACCACTCTTTCCTGTTTCCTGCCTTTGCTAGATCTTTGCTGTTTTCTCATCAGGCAGCAGATGGCTGCCTTTCTGTACTATTCAGGTTTCCGGCCCAGTAATGCCCTGAAAAATGGCCTTTCCCCGCCCGTTCCATCTGACATAGCACCTGCATTCTTTCTTTCGTAGCAATAGGACTACTCTGTCATTGTCTCCAGGCTTCCTGTACATTTCACTCCACTGGAATATAATCTCCAGGAGATCTCTGGGGCCTATCTCAATCTTACCCTTCTTTGGACCCCCAGAACTTGGCACAGAGTTTCAAAAAAAACCAAACAAACAGAAAATCCATCCCATAAACGCTTCATGGAAATCAATGTGTGTCAGAGTAGAACTGTGTTCCATACATAGGGTTTTCTGTGGCTGTTCTTAGAAGTACATCACCAGGCCTTTCTTCCACCCTCTTAGTTAGCACCATAGCACATTAACCATGTGCCCTGCCCAGAAATCCACTGGCACACAGCAGCCCCTCAATAAATATGTACTGAATTAATGGAAATAATAAACATCAAAGATGATCTACTGGAGAAGTTTCCAGCTTTTTGGTTTCCTAGACCCTCTTGAGAAATCTGAATGGGGAAAATGTACATAAACATAGAGAATTGCTGCAATTTTTTAAAATTAAAAGATCATTTTATTGGGGGCTCTTATAACTCTTATTATAATCCAAACATCAATTGTATCAGGCATATTTGTACATATGTTGCCATCATTCTTTTCTAGACATTTACTTTCTATTGAGCCCTTGGTATTAGCTCTTTTTTCCCTTCCTGCCCCAACCTGTGACCCTTGATATATGCAAAACTAATTACAATTATATTCATATCTCACACTGACCGCTGTCTCCCTTCCCCCATGGTTTCTATAATTCTTAATTGAGGCTGGAAGAAGGAGGCATGGCTCACCCAAGGTTTCACAGTCAATTCCTGGCAGATTTTAAATTATGTCTCATTTCTCACTCCTAAGCCAATGTTAGCTAATTAATAAAGGAGGTTTCTTGTCTATTTCCCTCCATTGAAATATAACCTCGATGAGATCTCAGGACTTTGTATCTGTCATACTCATCTTTAGATCCCCCAAATCAGTGCCTGGTCATGGAGCAAATTAATTCAGACCTCTTTCACTGAATCCTCGCGGGGTGGCAGGCCCTGGAAGTGAAGAACATGAGTAAAACTCAGGTGGGCGAAAGGTCGTCTCTGACTCTAGATGTGTAATTTCCAGGGGCACAAACTGACAAGGACAAAAATCACTCACTCAGCTATTTTGAAGTATTAATTGAGCACCTGCTACCTGCCAGGCACTGGTCTAGACACTGGAAATCCAGCAATAAGTAAAACAAGGCCCCAAAAGAGAGGAAAACCCCTACCCTCTGGGAGCTTCCATTTTATACTAGTACTCTCACGACCGTCAGGTCTACTCTAACGCATAGCAACCTACAGGACTGAGAAAAACTGCTACTTTGGGTTTCTAAACTGCAAGCCTTTATGGGAGCAAACAGCTTTATCTCCCCCCCGCCCCCACCGAGCAGCTGGTTGGTAGGATGTGAGGGGGATAGTGCATTTGGAGTTCATTCCACCAGGTCAGATTGTTAATCAGGCTTTCTATTTAGAGGTTCTGAAAATATTATGTAACTATGTTCAACTAAAGAGGCCTGATTTATGGCAGATGGGGGACTGGTTTTGCCACCACGACAATGCACCTGCTCACACAGCCATCTCAGTGTGCCAGTGTTTGGCAAAAACAGGATGCCTCTCTTGCCCAATGTACCTTACTCACCTAACCTTGTCCCATGCAACTTCTTTTTGTTTCCACGAATGAAGAGGGACATGAAAAGACAGCGATTTGACGATGCAGAAGAGGTGAAGAAAAACAAACAAACAAGGGAGGTGCTGTCAGCCATCCAAACAGATGAGTTTGAAAAGAGTTTCCAAGAATGGAATAGCAGATTTAACAAATGTATTAAGTGTAATGTACTTTGCAGGTGATAAGGTGGTTTTGTAAAAAAAACCTTAAGTCTAAGGGGCCGGCCCCAATCCCAACTACATAGATACCTGCCCCTCCCCCCAGAAGAATTTATTTCAGAGGACAGCACTGAAGCTGCAGCTCAGGAAGAGGGACATATCTGATCAGAGCACATGGGAGCAAATGAAGGAGGAGGAAGAGAGAGTGGAGCACATCCTGGCCCACTAAGCCTTGAGGATGATATTCCAGCTCAGAGTACAATCCACAGAGAAGACCATGTAGCCAGCCCCACTATGAGACATGACATCCCTCACTGACCCATAGCCCTACTGGGGACAACACTCTAGTGCGGGAATTGAGCCTGATCTGATCCCACCACACCAACGCAAAACATTAAGGGCATGCAACAGAACAGCAAGGGGAACAGGGCAACAGAAGTCCCCAGGGAATACCAAAAATAGACTTTGGGGCTAGGGTGTTGGATCCCATCACACTCAGCCGCAAAACACTCCTAAAGACCAACAAACAGTCTTTGAACTAACTATAGGCTTTTCTTTGTTGGTATTGTTTTGTCGGGTTTTTTTGTTTTTTGTTTTCTTTTGTTGCTTTGTTTTACTCTGTCTTATTTTTGTGCATGTTATTA